CCCCCCCCCCCCCCCCCCCGACCCCCACCCAAAAAAAAGACCCATGAGCCTCTGTTGATTAGAGAGTTTGTGTGTCCTAATGAACAACAACAACAACAAAAAACATGAATTTCAAAAACAATTGATCAAACTGGCTCTTAAAAAATTTTGCATTTTCTTCCCTGCTCCCAATGTATAAATTCAATAGAGAATTGCTGACCTTCTATTATTCAGGTCATGTTCCCCTCAAAAGTGGAAATATATTTGTCAATGTCCTTTGTTCCTTAAATCTGAAATGAATAACAATGTTCCCCTTTTCCCAAACACTCTCTGGAGACCCTCTTTGTTTAGATACTACTTCAGTGAAAACTTCTACTTACACTTGCCAAATGAAAAATGCTGTAAGGGAGGGGGGAGTTACCGCAATGGAGGTACTTGTATTCACTTCATTATACGAAAATAATGGAACTCAAACTGAACAGTGAGCACTAATGATGCTTTACACTCTTCAAATATTAATCCCAAGAAGAGAAAAACTGCCCCTCCTGTTCCATTATGTTGTGTTCCTGAGCAAGACACTGCATGACTCTCACAGTGCCTATGTCCACCCAGTTGTATAAATGGTTGTGCTGGGGGTAACCCTACAATAATATTGACTAGCATCCCATCCAGAGGGATGTAGAAATACTCCAGGGTGTTTCATGCTACCAAAACTAGGGATAAGTGCCAGCCTGATGGGCCACTTGTGTTGTACACACACTTTACCTCATGTTTTCATATTTTCCTTTTTTGGCGCAGCTTATTTATTTTCTTGGGGGGAGGGATAACTTTTTGTAGAGAAGACGTTTTTGAGAGGTCTTTTTCAGAATGGTGTGGTATTTCTAGATAAAGCCATTTAAAAACCTGTCTTGGCATCACTTTCGAATTCATGTTTGTGAAACAATAGTGTTTATTTTTCTTTGTAAAATCATCAAATAACTAACACTTCAATGTAACTTATTGTAACAATGTAAATGTATCATAACACTGCTTGTTGTTCATTCCGTCTTCAATAATTCAGGGGCACGCAATGAAGCTTTTCTCTCAAATTCTTTAAAACCCTGTTTTAGGGTATCTGGGTTGCTTTTAAAGCTCTTAGGTTGATTAAGCGCTGCACTATAACTTTTTGTTCTCTTTGGTTATTCTTCTCCAATTTATTAGGGTTTTTGTTTTTTTGTCCATTTTCCGAAACCTTAGGGTCTTGTTACCTTTCTTATAATCTGAGCTGACCTCTTTTTGATACCCAAAATGATATTTTTATCAATCTGAAAAGTTCGAGGTGACAATTCTCTAAAGACCTCTTAAAAGAAAATGGGAGGGGATTGAAGGTCTTACGAACATATGATTTACCGAAACGGTCCTTTGGGTGCCCCTGATAATTTCTAGATATTTGACGGGTTTGAGTAAGGACTAGGTGCGAATGAACACAAGATAACAATTATACTCCAATATGAGTTGCCTGTGAAAGAACGAAATATTGTTGCGCGTCATGCTGAACACTACAGTTTTAGAGATAGACACACCATGGAACTTTGGCTCTCTTCGCACAGGACCGTGGGTCCCAAATGGTTCCATTTCATACCTGGGTCAGTCCAGGCCTGGTCAGGTCTCGGGAAACTCGGGAATGTTTATCTGTTTACATGGAACTGGTCAGCTGTTTCTACCAGTTGAACAGGCGCATAATGCACTGAAGGGTTCGGATATGATAGGGAGTGCGGATAGCAGGTCCCATGTGAATGACACGCCTGTACGATCCCGCGTGGGGACAAAATCTATTTGGTGTTCATGGTCAAAAGTCAAAGTCCTGTTTGCCTTTAGACCATCGATACGAGTATATTCAATGCTACACACTTTCGTTAAGATACAAGTAATATAAAACTTTAATATCGCGGGAGAGGAGGCAGGGAGAGAGGAAGGGAGCAAACCCACAGCTAGAGCTAAATGATGTTTTAAATTAGCTTGATCAGGTCCCTTAAACCCCACCTCCTCCCCTATTCCCTTGGAGGGAAGCCTTTGCGTCATATAATAAAATACCATAAAATTCCTATATTAACCTCTGAGCTTACATTGTATTTCTTGTTCAAACACCTTGGTGTGCTTGTTTATGTGGTGGGGGAGGTTTATCGACGTATTTTGCGACATTTGCACACTGCAGACCGCAGACTACAAACTGCAGATGTTTTAACAAATATCGTATTCCTATTTCCATTACCGAGGGATAACGAACCGTAAATAGGCGACTCTAAGGATATTCTGACTAACCAAAGCGCTATGATTTAGGCCTTAATGTAGTCTGCAATCTACAATTGACATATATGCAGGATTATCGGAGGGTATTCGAGCTTTCCGTTTGAAACCTCTTAGGTTTGACTTTAAAAACAGTTAAATACTGCAACATCAACATGGAACACGAATTAAGCGAGTTCTGTAAAATGAAAAGAGAAATGAAAAGGAAAAAACTGTATAGGGTAATGAAACTCTAAAAAGGACGGAGGAGGGCTGTTTTCGGATACTTTTTTATGCTCAGCTTCGCAGGACTTTTGATGTGGAGTAGAGAGGAGGGGAGTAAGCGAAATTTGACGGGATTCGATTAAAAAATTATAATTAGTCTCCCTGATCCTTGGTGTCTCCTGCACATTAAGGCCCTTGCGCGCGGCTAACAATTAGAAAGATTCTCCATCTGCTCCAGGTCTGTTGGACGAGAGAAAGCTGCATCCATCGATTAAATAACCTGCACATGTTTTGGGTCATCTGGAAGGTAATATCTGGTGTTGTTTGGCGATCCTGTTCCACCCTTTAAAATGCCGTGACTTGGAGAGTTGAGCCTGCGAATACTCAGCAGTTCCTCGTCGCGAGGTGGCTCGTCATATTCGTGGGAGTAAAGTATACCTGGAGTGAGAAGAATAAATAAGTAAATGAATAAATTAATGTAAACCTGACCACTTGAGCAATTAATTTAAGTTGAACCAAACATCAACTAAGAGCTAGTGCTAAATGAGGTGAAAAAATATTTTGTTGTTGTTGTTATTATTGTTGTTGCNGGGGGGGGTCGGAGATATAGTATAGTTTTTCTGGGACCAAGTGTCTAATTTAGAGGTGTCGGCGCACGATACCTGGAGTGGAAAAATTGAAATTGCAAACAGATATATATCAACACTTAATCTGACAATGTTCTAGGTTTAAAAGAACAATTCTCTTTACTTTTTGTTGTCATTTATGAGAATTCGCGGGATGGTACATCATGCAAAACAAAGTGGGAGCGTAGAGTCTGGTTGATCATAAACAAACTTTGTCATGTAATTAAATTCAAAATAGCGACGCGTATCAGGGAATCCCATTGTTAACACCTTGATCCTGGGAATCCACTCCTAAGATTCATTCCTCTCTTTTTGAAGAGTTCTCGAGTTGAGACTACAATTCAACGCCATTTTTTTCCATAACCAGAAGTTTTGCCCGCACCAACGTTGAGCTACATACCTCTGGGATTGTCCACAACAACGTAGGCCCTTCTCCTGCTAAGATCAGCCTCGGGCTCATCATATACGTGCCCATCTGGGCGCCCTCTAGTGGTGGTCCCAAAGGTGTTCGTGATGCTGTCCGGATAGGGCTCATCGAGCACATAATACATGGGGATCGGCGAGGCCCTGGGCTGAGAGTTCAGTATTTCCTCAGGACAATCGTAGGTGCTATCGTTGAATTCTAAATAAAAATATCAATAAGACTTTTTTTTACATATATTCTGGAAACCATTCCGGATGTAAAAGAGCAATCTTATTGGTTGCAAGAGCAAATTATAAATAAAATGGGTCATTGGCATTGTAGAGCGCCCTCGAATTTAGGCAATTTGCCGAGTTTCTTGGAACAGCCATTACCACGCGATATAATTTGTTAAAATTCAGAATAATGTATTACTATTTATAGCTATAATCACCTTTATCCACAACTGAGGCCCTATTGGGAGTTTTCGGAATATGGGATATTTAGAAAATTAACGAGATACAGGCTATTTGGGGAAAAAATTAATGGGATATAGGAATAGTTAGATCAGATAAAACGGGATACCGAGTAGGAATATCGTTAGTTTTTTTCAACTGGAATTAACGGGATACGGGACTTGGCCAAAAAATTACCGGAACGTTCGGGGATACTCAACTGAGCTCCCCTTAATGGGGCTCACAGCTCACTATAATTGATTTTGACAAGATATCATTCACTTTACGTCTGTTCAAATTACCTTCTGGATCCTTACGTGTGTCCAGAACAACCTGATCGGGGCTAACTCCAAAGTCGCTGCAGTTAAGCCGTTCAAGATCCTTGTGGTCTACCACTTGCCCTTCGTACAATGGATTCATTGTCACAAATTCCTCTCTCAGCGACAGAGCTGGATTCACTTGACCATTTAGACTGCCTCGCTTTGAACCTGCAGGAGGTCTGGGCGGAGCGTTTGTGGGAAAACGATCGGAATAGATAGATCCTCGTTTGATGTCCGAACCCGATAGAATTATTCCATCCGAGCTCCTTCGATAGGCTGGGTTGTCTAGTAAATGCAAGCAAAGAAACAAAGAAAAAGTGTGTTTCTACAGATGGAAATATTATTACCTTAACCTTTGTAATTTAAAAAATCTGAAATTCTAAATCTAAATTTCTAAACAGAAATTTCCGTTCTACGAAATTTTCGGTTGAATCGTTCGCTTTTCGAAAATTGAACAGTTTCCGCATTTTCTGCAACGGTTCCGAACCTTTCCAAGGAAATTTGCGAACCGTTTGTCACCGTTTCTAAGTTTTCGGAATTTTGGTTGAACAGGAAGTTCCCTCGGGGACAACTGACAAAGCTTGAAAAATGGCTTAAAATTTAACTGACAATTAGAAAAAACAATTAACTAATAGCTTACATTTGCATTTGCGCCCCTTCCCCCTCGCTTATTTTTGCTTAAAGGCGAAAGACCAGAAAACGGCAGTACATCAGCATAACAGTGGATAACATGACAGAACATTTGACGGCTTAGGCCCGTTCCAAACGCCGCTCCATTCATGCGCCAAACCTAACTGATGAGTTAAGAACGGCAGAAGAGCGGCGTTTGAATCAGTTTGGTTCGGCAGGTTAGGTTTGGTGCGGCAAACAACATTAAATTCGGCAGGGTTTGTCGCACTATGCGACGCTGGAGCGGCAGCTGATTCATACGGCGTTCTCCTCATGTGTCGAACCTAATGCATAAATTACTGTAATGAATTTTTCATATAAAGGGACTCGTGATTGGCTCAAAATAGAGTGGCGTGACAAGTCATGCATGAAGCTTGAAGTCGCTAAAAACAAAGACAAAAAAGATGCCTTCGATTTATGAGTTTCTTTATCGCAAATTCATTTTTTGCTTTTTCTTCGTGATAATAGCTCAGCTTATCAGATTTCCCTTTAACAAATCGAATTAACCGGGAGAAACCTGTCTAAATACAAACACTGGACCTTGAGTTTAAATTTGCTTCCCAAAATATTGCTATAAACAGCGAAATGTTAGTGACAGCTTTTCTATTTGGACAGAGTTCTTGAATTCAAAACGCATATTTTCTCGTCGAAAATTGTTACCACCGGCTTCCCGAATTAAGTTAGACGCAAGTACGCCGTCTGAACCAGCCGTCGCTCCAAAGTCGCTCTAAAGTCGAACTTAATCAAGTTTGGTTCGGCACATGAGTAGAGCGGCGTTTGAACCGGGCCTTAGAATGCGAGACTAAAACAAGACAAGGAAAACGTACATAGGTGTGGCCCTTTAAGGAGTTTTCAGGATGCGATATATTTGGGTAAAATCTGAACGGGATACATGATATTTGGGGGCAAAATTAATGGATATGGGATTAGGAAAATCGTTAATTTTGGAATTGGAATTAACGGATATAGACGGGATATTTAGTCCGAAAATTAATGGGATGCATGTGGGATATTAAGCCCCCCCTCCCCTCCTCCGCGCGCCCCCCTCCCTAATGGGGCTCGTAGGTCTGCCATGCTCAAGCAGCCATCCAGTTACTCCAGCACAATATCTCAATTTCTTACTTCTCATCATAAGTTTCTTCTAAGAAGTTATTCAGAGTGTATGAGCCTACATTGAAAGTGCTTTAACCGCACTATTGTATGGCTGTGTGTGATTCGGAAAGCCATAAGAAAGTAAATTAACGTGGAAGTTGACTGATTTTTGTAGTGTAACTTATATTAAAATATATGTCTACAATTACTGTAGTACCCATGCTCCTCGTTCTCTCGGTGAAAGTCCCAATAGGAGTCAAATAGGAAGCGTCTGTGTAGACTGGTATCGAGTTACGACTCATCTAAAAACAAAACAGAAGGATAGTAGCGATAAATTGCTAAATTCTCTTCACTCCATTTTTACAGGCTTCATAAACAAGTAAGAATTAAAGAAAATGAAAATGCTGCGTGGGTATAAAATAGCCGTAAATAACGAAAACCAACGTCTCCCAAACAAGCCCTCATGTTGCATTCCTGCGAGAAGCGTCATGGCTGCGAGACTCGAAAGAAAAAAGAACCTTTGTATTACGTCTGTAACTCTTGAGGGACACATACCATGTCTCTAGTTGCAACTACGTCACGATAGNAAAGTGCTTTAACCGCACTATTGTATGGCTGTGTGTGATTCGGAAAGCCATAAGAAAGTAAATTAACGTGTAAGTTGACTGATTTTTGCAGTGTAACTTATATTAAAATGTATGTCTACAATTATTGTAGTACCCATGCTCCTCGTCCTCTCGGTGAAAGTCCCCATAGGAGTCAAATAGGAAGCGTCTGTGTAGACTGGTATTGAGTTACGACTCATCTAAAAACAAAACAGAAGGATAGCGATAAATTGCTAAATTCTCTTCACTCTATTTTTACAGGCTTGATAAACAAGTAAGAATTAAAGAAAATGAAAGTGCTGCGTGGGTATAAAATAGCCGTAAATAACGAAAACCAACGTCTCCCAAACAAGCCCTCATTTTGCATTCCTGCGAGAAGCGTCATGGCTGCGAGACTCGAAAGAAAAAAGAACCTTTGTATTACGTCTGTAACTCTTGAGGGACACATACCATGTCTCTAGTTGCAACTACGTCACGATAGAGTGGTTTTCACTGGAGTGTCGAAAGCACTGGTTTGGCATTACTATACGGTACGCGATCGACTGGCTTAAAAACTCAGAAACTGAAATTATTTCATACTCACGTGGGATACTGGACTGGAAATTGACCCTTCTAGACGGCGATGTTGGTTGGGTCGTTTTCTGAAAGAAAGAGCAAACGACAGCTTAGTTGGAACCTCAACATTCAGAAATGAGTTTAGTAATAAACGAAGGTATAAAGCGGATAGAACACTAGTAGTGTGTGCCCATATTCAAATGAAAGCTATTGAGTAGTTCTCTCACGTGGTACCGTTTATTATACTGTACAAGGTGGTTCTCACTTTTAAGTCTGGATGAAACCCTAGTATGTAAAAAATGGAAGTTTTGAGCATTATCTCCGTGTAGTGCAGTGTTTCATTATAGTTCATAAAATTAGATCATCGTCATCATCATCATCAAAATCGTCATCGCTATCTTCCATTTAGAAAACGCGGGTTCACATTCATTACTGTACACACAATGCACTTAACATAGCCCTCCAGTGAATCTTGAACTCGCTGCTTATATCAGTTTCAAAATTGAAGTCTTTTACACTACAACAATAACTGTTAAGATTAATTTAGTAAATTGCAGTAGACCTTACTTAGGAGTGTTGCAGCGCCATAAGATGAGCAGTATCAAGGCAATCAACAAAATGCCTCCAGCCACCGATCCGGCAATAATGAATGTGTTCTTCTGACTTTCCTGTCTTTTCCCTGTCTCGGCGCCCTCTCCGGTACCCGTACCATCACCCGTCGCTCCTTTAGTGGGCTGATGTATAAAATGAATCAAAAACAATATAAAAAAATATTCAGTTAGTACTGTGTACTAGAGACAGTATATGTCTCAAATAATATAGGTAGAAAACTTAGACGAATTTCCATAATTTGAAACAAGTATGAAGGAGTCGTGATTTATTGTTTTCATACTACATTTTCCTCATCACATAGCTTCATCATCAATTCCATTTACCCAAGCTATAACCTATTTTAGAAAACATATTAGCTGGAAGAAGTAGGTCTCTTGTAAGCGCTTTTTGTCCTCGTTCCAAAAGTCTGATGCAATATTACATTCTAATCGAAATTTAAGGAAGTTGCTCATTCTATTGAGACGATCTGTGATGACGTACCGGGGTCGTTCCGCCTTCATTGGGAGGTTGAGTTGCTTCATAGATGAGCAGAGTTCATTACCAGCAGGTCAAACAATGAAGAGAAGCTTGTGTAACCTCAATATTAGTAAACATGAAAAAGCCCAATGTAACGCCCCCATGGGCATCTCTTTTTTAACCCACAAAATCCCTATCAGTTTTCAAGCACCCGGTTCCACCTTCGTCCCCTTAGAAGCGCACATCTGGATCCACCAGTTAGTACAACTGTTATTTATCACATATGCATATGCACTACGACTGGCTAATCAGAAGAGTGAATTTTTTTTAAAGGAGCTCAGTCAAGGTATTTTGAGTTATTTTGGCCACGTACAAAATTTAACTTTTATTTGACGGAAACCTGAAAATAAACGTTTACTAAGGTAGAAAAACACAAAGAGATAATAATAACCTATAAAGGAACAAGGATGGTAAGGATGGAGGAGATTAACATGGCAGGTACAAACGTTAAACAAAGTAAGCTCGATACCTCGGTTGCCCCCTCTTCAGTAGACGGGGTCGTCGTTGGTTTTTTCGCCGGCGTGGTCACCGGGGGAAGAGTCCCTGTTGCATCTAATCTTTCCGCTACCGGTGTTGGCAAGGTCGCTGCGTTTAATGCTGGTGCTAGAGTCGGCCTAGGGTACGGACCTTGGAATAAATGTAAGAAGACCGTGAAATAACGACGGATCCCACTTGAACTTAGAATAACTGCAGGGAATAGTATAACACCATTTAAAAAAAAAAATTCAACTTGTCTATCCTATAATCTGAATTATTGCAAAGCCCGATTAGGAAACTTAGAATCCCAACTGGCCGGAGGCAAACCATTTCGCCAGTTACAAGGGTGGCTGAGGATTTGAACTCGGGGCTACCGTAAAATAAATCCAGGTAGTAGTCAGAGCGTGACTCGAACCTGGACCATGCACTGGATTGCGAGTCCGACGCGCTGACCACTCAGCCACGCTGCCTCCCCTAAATGTAAATTTCGTTTGCTGATGAAATTTAAGCTGCGTACTAGTAGTGGTTACTTTGAACATTATGGAGCATGCTTATATATTTGAGAGGCGGGACTGCCTGATCACGCGATGGCTAATGCGCTAGAATCCGGATCGAGTGGACCAAGTTGAGCCCCTGCCGGGGTTATGGTGCATGTGGTCTTGGGCAAGACACTTCACTCTCTCAGGGCCTCTCTCCACCCACGTGTATAAATAGGCACTGGTGAATATTGTTGGGGCAACGTGACAGAAACCTGGCGAGTAACCCGCGATGGACTAGCACTGATCCTTTCCACGGGGAAGTAACGAAAATTGAGTTAAGTACTCTTGCAACTTCTCGAAAATGAGGAGATCATGGTTGATACGCACTATACTGAAATTTCTAAGTATCTCCCACTCTTTAAAGTGGCTCAAAACAGTTTCCAGCACTTAGATTTTGATGGGTCGTTATAACCACTCTTTATCACTTGATGCTACAGTCATGGTATCAAAAAACTGCCCAATCATTGGTTAGCACGTTATCATTTTCGTGACGCAATAGGTTACCGTAGCAACAGTATGACCTCCTAAAAACACCCTTAATTACAGGTTTAGGGGCTTATAATTCAAAAACGGCACGGTGAATGTTTTTTTATATTATCAACCTTTGATGAGCATGATAAGACGCAACTGTTGACAAAGTTAAAAACAATTCTTTAGGAGGGCTCAGAGCCACCTTAAATGTTCGAAAACTTAAGGTGGCTCTGAACCCTACCTACAGCATTTTTCTAAACTTTGCCTAAAGTTGCGTATTAGTATTAGTATACGATGTTCTTTTCTCATTTCGGTTCTCGATTATTAATGTTAACTCGCTCTACTGTCTTATGTTACTTAATTTCTATATTATGTGTTGTGTATAATATTTTGGTTTAGCTTAAGAGGCTTTACATTATTATCTAAATTGATTCAACAATCTTTCTTATTACTTCATGTATGCTTACAGTCAATTTTTCCATGGACCTGGAACACAACACATGAGCTTGTCAACTGAACGTTAGAAGTGTCACTTCGACATTGTATTGCAACTCTAACGAGACGACCAGCAGTTACGTTCTGAAATAGTGTTGTACCGGCTTTGATCTGAAAGAAAACAACAGCAGGATTAGCCAGTAATCTCTTAACTAGCTCCTGGGTCGCCAAGTCACTTTTTAGTGGGCACTGAATCACCATAGCCAAAGGTGATAAACTGCACTAACTATTTTGAAAATTGAGCAGAAAATAGCCTTTGCAGAGGGTGAAAATGACCAAAAAAGTGAAAGCCTCCCCCCATGTATTGTCTATTGGTAGAATTCTACTTGAACACTAATGCAAATGCTGCAATCTTATTGGTTGAGCTACTCGTATACTATCAGCTATTAGAGAGGTCTACTACGAGATGGCGACGTTTTTTCTCCTTTTAACAAAGTTTTGAAAGAACAGTTTGAGGCAAATTAATGGATAAATAAATTCCTGAGAAGACTAAAAGAAAAACATTAATGGTTTCTTGACTTTAAAAATCTTGAAATTAGATGTATTGAAAAAAATGATCGCGCGCGCACACGACTTCAATTTCAAAGTACAATTCAATCCGAACGGTCTTTCTAAGGCACAAAGTTTAGTAATACGTCGAGAAGTAATTGGAAACCGTTATTTGAAGTAAATTTCAGTTAGAATTCTACTAAAACAACTACATTATTCGCTCTCGATTTCAATGAGGTCTCATCAACTATCACCTCATAGAAATCTCGAGCTCATGATCTGATTGTTAATTATATTTTGTGGCAGTTCTGGGCCCTCACGTGCTAACTGATCGTGACTAAGTCAGCTCATTCCCATCGCAAAGACTTGGCGCTTCCTGAACAAACCGTTGAAATCTTACCCCATAATATTATAGGTTAGTTCATTTTGTCTGTACAATCTGAGCAACACAATTACGCAACTCTCAGTGCGTTTTTACAACACCTAAATCCAGAATCTTTCAGAATAAATATAAGAACATTTTGGCCAACTGTTACTGGATGTCCTTATTGGTATGGCACCTTTACAATACAATACAATACAATACAATACAATACAATACAATACAATACAATACAATACAATACAATACAATACAATACAATACAATACTGATTTAATAAGAATATACGCTTAGCTATGGTGGTGCACTGCGATAGTTCACCAGCTAGTTTACAGGTACATCACTAGAAAATAAATATTAGAATGAAATGAATATAGAGTGACAAAAGTTGGCTAAAATATTGAAAAACATTGAAAACTTCCTTTACATTTGTACAAGCCTGAATTTAATAAGCCAACTAGGAAACTATTTTAAAAAGCGCTTTACCAGTTCTATTTTGCCTAGTATTAATAGATCTAACACAAACTATTTCTTTACTACTATAGTTTGCCCTTTCTACTTTCCTTTCACTGCAAATATTTTAAACATTGCTGTATTCATATTGTCATTTGGAGAAATTAAAAATACAAAAATATAAAAGGCCAAAATCTGATCTGATCTGAAGCCTGTGCACTTCATCGCTTTTGGGTCTGGATAGGATAGTTATAATCTCTGTTGTCATTCAATTTTTTTAATGTGGTGATTTCTTAGTTCTCAGTTAACATTTCGGCCCGCGTTATCATTACCTTTTTAGTTAGATATATACAATTGCCCACCTCAGCGGACAGTTGAAATTTTGACCAATTCATCTACCAGTAACCGAGACAATCAAGGCTAGTAACTAACTTACCCTAATCTTCAGCTGACTTGAGGACCAACCGGGTGTCAGCTCTATAGTGTCAAGCAGATTTGGTGATTCTATTGACCTCCAGGAACCAGTACAATCCAGATATTGCACATAGAATCGATTTCCATAATAGAAGGTGCACCTCTGGTTGGCAGGAACGTCTACAGTTTGTTCCAGAACAGAATCAGATGGAAAAAACACCAAACGTTGGTCCACTGACTCGCCTGTAAAGAGCATCAGGCAGCCTGTGAAAAAAAAAATAAAAAAATTAGACTACTCGCCCTCGTTTTCTATGAGCGAATAGTCAACGAGCCATAGCCGAGTTGACTTTCGCTCATAGAAAACGAGGGCAAGTAATGTACTTGTAATTGTTTTAGTTTACAGCACAAAACAGCACAAAACCTAGAATTCTGTGGTATTTTAAAGACTTGAGAGTAATTTTAAGTTTCAAGACCAACGCGCGCGATCGTGGTCTATCAGCGAATAGAAAACGATGAGAGAACCAATCAGATTCTCGCATTTCAAATCGAACATAACTGGAGTGGCTAATATATTGATGGTAAGTTCTATTCCGTAAAAACACGCTTCTGAGTGTGATCGAAACAAAGGAACACAGTTGAAAAACAGGACACGTTAAGAACGCTGATGCAGCTCGTGGTTAAACCTCGTTCCCAGGATTTCTCAGCCCTGGGAACGAGATTGTGTCATGAAGTTGCGCTGCAATTTTACGCAAGCGCAATATCAAATTACGACGTTTTTAGAAGCAAATGAAAACGATAGAGTAGGGTAACTGATTTTGAAACATTTTCCCCTCGAGCAAAAACAAGAGTGAGTATTCAGTCCCGAAAATGGAAGAAAACAAAAAGAAATAGATTGATATCGCAGGTTACAATAAGGAACAAGTTGAACTCAAAAGAAACATTGGCCCTCGGTGTTGGATTGCACTTCCGTTGGGAGAGCTCGGATTTCTTTTCTCTTTAACGATAGCTTGTGTTTTTCACTCTATTTCTACCAAGCTAATAACGCGAGTTGGCATTTCTTGGTAAACATGTTTGGTTAATTTGAAAGGCGTAAACAAGGTATCATTATTCGATAAAGAAGTACTGAAGCTGTGAAACATTAAGAGCGAATATTTATATTTATAGCTATACTCAATACAAAGCGCGAAGCGTTCATTAAATATTAACCAAAACACCGGCCAATCTTAGCCACAAAGGATTGAAAAATTAAGTAAAACGATTCAAAACAAAGAAACAGCTATTTAACATGAAGGTATTCCTACTCTAGCAGGATACTTGGAAACCAAGAAACAAAAATTGGTTTGCCATTCAGTAAGCCTGAGACCGTTGCGTTACTCACAAACTTAGATAAAATATTGAAAGCGTAATTTCCGTCATTGAAATTCCGCCTTCAAGTCTTCAGGGCTTCTACAACCATTATACCAGCAAAAAGGACAAGACAAGCACGGCAAGGAATATTAATAACTCTGAATTCTGTATAGCCGAATCAAGGAGTTCATTATAGTGATAAAGAGTTATGATTGTTCAGATGCTTGCACATTCATTAACACAAACTTTGTTTAAAGGAACTACGTCACGGTTTGCGTATCTAAATTTTTCAAGTTCGTCGTTTGCAATCCGTTTTGTCTTCTCCATCCTTAACCATCCTTGTTCCTCTATGGACTATTAATATCTCTTTAGTCTTTTTTATCTTAGTAAACAATTATTTTCAGGTTTCCTTCAATTTAAAAGTAGGTTTGTTCGAGGCCAAAATAACTCAAAATATCGTAACTTAACAAACTATGATTAGAGCAACTGACTGACGATCATACCTGCCTGCTGTCGAACATCGCTGACTGGAAGGCAGCCATAACTTGACTCGTAAAAAGTAGTAGTTTTGCCTTGTTGATCGTGGCAAAAACACCAACATATTGAAAGCGAAGTACCGTTGAAATTGCCGCATTGTGGCTGGTTCCCAGGGCAATGAGAATCTGGTAAGAGAAAATCAACATGTACCAAGGCACTATCACGCTCAATTGTAATGAACTCGGCCATGCTGTAGCCTGTGATTGCCATCGTGAGGAAAATCAGGGCTGTCGACAATCCAGCCATCGCTTTGAGTCAGTTTTGTTTTAGAAATTGTTAGTTGAAAAGATATAATTCCCTCAAGCACGTCAATTAATCGAATCTCGCCCTACTCCGTCTCCACTTCTAGTGGTGTACCCTTTAAACTTCGCGTCTTTCACAAAAAAGAGTTTTCAACTTTGTGTGTCAGTGTGATGTGAAATTAAGTCCTCGCTGAAACCAAGCTTAAACTATCCACGAACGCAACGAAACCCTAAAACACGGCAACTGCAGTTACCAGCCATCCTTAGCAATATCAGTCCAGGATATTGAGCCAATAGGATGTCATTACCTCCATATTAGTGTTTGATTGACAGTGGGCCAAAGCCACCTATGGACTTT